CTATGATAAGCTTCTCTATATCCTTTTTGAGTAGTCATTTCATCTGGGTAGCATATTGTGCGCAACTCACAAGTTTCAGTGAGTCCTGCATTTTAAAAAAATTGAAGTAATTAGTTATTAGTTTATAATAGGAATGCTATTTAACATATGGAAATTTCATCCGATTTGGTAGCCGTAAAATTCTTATTCTATTACAGAAGAACAAATAGCTTTTGGCTTGGTTATTTGTCTAAAATAGATGTTCTTAAGAAAATGCAGGTCTTTCTGCCAAATAACGATTACCAAATGGATAATCCACAAAAGCATTCCACAAAAGTTCCTTCCCAGACATTCCACATATGAATGGATATTCCACATAAGTTTCTTCCCAGACATTCCACATTTATTAAATGGATATTCAAATGTTTCAGGTATTGGCAATTAAGTGTGCACATCTGTTGATGGGTTTTATATCTTTCCGACATTAGTAATACACGAGTATGTAGCCAAGTATTGGTGGGAAGGGAAAAAAGGTCTTGAGAGTAATTTTACCATATCCTTGTACCACAAATGCACAAGAGGTGACCCTCAAGATCGAACTCTTCAATCTCACTACCTAGTGCTGCACCACCTGAAACTATTAGACGAAGTCAGCAACCTAGCCTTGCCTTTACCTATCAATGTGAGAGATACTTAACATTTTGTTCATATGCAAAGTTTTTACTATAATTAAGAACTCATAGGAGTGAACTGCTTTCTCATAGTTCAGAGTCCTCCCATGCGTTAGATTTTTTCAGGTACATGCAGCTTAGTTATAGAGTTTTGCCTATTTCGGTGAGCTTATTGAACTTGATATGCCTAAAAATAAGCAGAGTACTATTGAAGAAAACATGGGTAATTAACATACCTTCCATTTTACCCAAATCCCTTTTGACAGCCCCAACACAGCCTCTACATGACATGGTAACCTTGAGATTAACAGTCCGCCCACTCTGCCATCACGAACAAAGATTTAGTCTCAAATATTCAGGCAACATGCCCAACAAAATCTGCAGTCATTTATACTGAATATGTGAAAGTTATCCAGACTCCAAAACACGTGCCACATAAACAGCCTTTTTGTTAAGGGATTTCTACACTCCATTCTTTTATCAGATATAACTAACTATACATATTCCGATGTTCAAATTCAATGAAAAGAATTTATGAGAACAATCAGCCTCTAAACAATAATTTAGAGAATAGAGTATTTAAAAAATGGAGTGTGGAAATAAGGGGGTACCAATACCTACGTTCACTCAAGCTCCTTTCATACTTTTTATTGTTTAAGTTGAAGTTCACTGGGCTAAAACATATAAATACTTGCATTTGGAGCATCTTTAGGAATTTCGCCAATCCAGACTAATAAGGTATGAGACAATAGTAAACTTATGCTTATCATATAGGCGTTCTGGTCAATACCTACTGTATGTGACAAAACCAAATTCAATGAATAATATACGGGAGTTTCAGTTTCTGGTCAACCTTATATCCTGAAGAATTCATTTATTTGTAAAAAAATAAAAGACTTTCAGACTAAGTAGAACAGCTTGCTATGCCTCTTAGGGTGACACTTAGATTGCCTTTAGCTTTATACTTCGTATAATAGTTTACTACAACCTTTAAAAGAATAGATTTAGAAGAGCACATATTAAAAGAGCCTTCATATTAAAATAAGAGAAATAGATAATATGGTTCGACCATATTTTAAGTTCACGCTTTATTTCTGCAAGGGTTATTCTATATGAGTTTAAGGTTATTTTGGAGGAATACACCCAATAACACAAATGAGGACACATGTGATTTAAAAAGTCTAGAATGTTCACAGTTGCTACGGATTGAAAATAACAGTTAGAAAGTAAAAGTCTAGCACTCCTAACACTAATATAAGGGTAAATTAGGAAGTAAAAAAGAAAAAAAAAGGTCTATAAAAAATTGCATCTTTCTGATCTGATCTGATCTGATCTGAATCTTTCTGATCTGATCTGATCTAATCTGAATCTTTCTGATCTGATCTGAATCTTTCTGATCTGATCTGAATGTTGCTGAACTGATCTGAATGTTGATGATCTGATCTGATCTGATCTGAATGTTTCTGATCTGATCTGAAAGTTTCTGATCTGATCTGAATTCTTCTGATCTGAATCTTTCTGATCTGATTTGAATATTTCTATAATTGTAATTATAATTATAATTATTAGATTTATAATTGTAATTAAAAATATAACTTAAATAAAATTACAATTATAATCATAATTATAAAAAAAAAATTAAAATTAAATTTAAAATTATAATAATTATACTAATTACACTAATTATAAGTACAGATACAATTATAAATGTAATTATATTTTTAATTATGATTAATTTTATAATTATTATTTTAATTATAATTATAATATTTATTTCTATAATCATAATTATATCTATAATTACTAATTTAAATATATAATTACTCCGAAGTAATAATAATTACAACAATAACAACAAGAACAACAATCATATTAATAATAATGATGATTATAATTATAATTACATTGTAAATCATAATTATAATTATAATTATAAATATATTATATTATATTATATTATATTATATTATATTATATTATATTATATTATATTATATTATATTATATTATATTATATTATATTATATTATATTATATTATATTATATTATATTATATTATATTATATTATATTATATTATATTATATTATATTATATTATATTATATTATATTATATTATATTATATTATATTATATTATATTATATTATATTATATTATATTATATTATATTATATTATATTATATTATATTATATTATATTATATTATATTATATTAGATAATAATAATAATTTTATATTATTAACATTATTATTAAATTATTAATAATATTATTATATTAATATATTAATATTATTAACAATAATTATAATATAATAATCATAATTAATATATTAATAAAAGTGATAAATCATGTTTGAATTTTTTGATCTGATCTGATCTGAATGTTTCTGATCTGATCTGAATGTTTCTGATCTGGTCTGATCTGGTCTGAATCTTTCTGATCTGATCTGAATGTTGCTGATCTGATCTGAATCTTTCTGATCTGATCTGAATGTTTCTGATCTGATCTGATCTGAATCTTTCTGATCTGATCTGATCTGATCTGATCTGATCTGATCTGAATAAAATAAGATTAAGGAATAAGTAATAAGATTAAGACGAACGGAACAGCTTCTAAGTTCCCAAAAAAAGTGCAAAAATGAATATTCAGAAGTTATTTAGGCGTGTTGGAGAAGATTTTATCCATTGAAAGTAATCATGACATACGGAGTATTTGGTGAAAATAGCACAATAATACAAAAAATGGATGAAGACCCCATCAGGATTTAGAAAACGAAAAAAGAAAATCAGCAAAAGATATCCCACTTGCTATTCCTTGGGTCGGTGCATGCAAGTTGGCAAGTTGGTTCACTTTGCTATAAATAATTCGCAAAATCGTGTCAAACTGAATACCTCGAAAATTTCATTCTGTCTCTCCTCTTTCTCTTTTCCCTCTCAGGTTTTATAGTTCGAAGTTGAACGCTTGCAATTCACAATAATGTCATGGAAATACGTTTGTGCATGTTTGTTATGAATATATTATACGAAGTATTCGTGTGTGTTGATGAATTCAAAATAAAGTACTCATCAATTTATTTTATTGCTCAATAAAATGTATACTGCGGAGTATTTATTATGATTAATTATATCTAGCGTTAGTTGTATATCTAAATCTAAATATTATCAGAGCATATTTTAAGAGAGTTTTTTTTCAATGATAGAAGTTATTCAATTTGTTGAGTGTTAATCAGTGGGTCAAATTACAAATACAAATACTACACAAAAATGCTTAAAAGCTAAAAGTATCAACATGATTATGATGTTATTCATAATTAAGACTTTACTGGACGAAAAGTTAATGAACAATCTCAGATTTTAGGGATTCTGGGAATGCATCAATTTAAGATGGAGCCATGGTGTGTAAAACAATGAATTCTGGAATCAAGGTTTTGTAGAAGAGGGGAATGATAATAATGTATTTATATAAGGATTACTATGTAATTTTCCAAAACTCATTTTAGTATAAATATTACCTCAAGGCACCCAACAGGGCAAGCCATAATCTCCCAAAATTATTGTTTTGTATATGGTATCAGACGTTTAGGTATCTCTCTTCCTACTCGTTCGATCGATCCATGGCCGGCCAAGCTACTCCTGCGGCCGCAAATAGTCTGGCGCCCACAAATCTGGTGCAGCCTCCCTCTGCGAGTTCTTCAACAACGCTTCCAGCGTTTACAGGTGTCCAATCTTCACCTTCCAGTTCAAGCAGCATAGTTTTCTCTCAGCAGCAATTCACGTCTCTGGCTTCATCTTCCCAGGCCGCGATGCTCAGCTCACCACTACCGGCCTCCTTGTCACAGCGTATCCGAGGTATTCCGCCGCTAGACTCATATAGATTATTCAACATGCCTGAACCGTTTACTTGGGCGTCCGCTTCCACAGCGATTCCGACACCACCGGTGTTTCCGCCTCCACCAGTTTTTAGAGACGTGGGCAGTTCGTCCAACATCTTTACCGGCCCAACCTTCTCTGGACAACCTGGGATTGGTCCTCTGCCATCAATACCGACAACTTCCTTGGCAGGTTTTGATAATTCTTCCAATTTTTTATCATCTCTAACATCTCAATTGGCTTTCTCTACACCTAATGTGAGTAATATTGTGACTACTCGTCTATCATCTGTTGAGGATTATTTGCCGTGGAGAACCCAGTTTGAATCATTTTTAGTTTCTCACAGTCTTTTGGGTATTTTAGATGGTTCTATTCCAGTACCTCCATCTAATACTCCTGATTACACTTACTGGCTAAAAATTGATCAAACGGTGCGTTCATGGATTTTTGCTACCCTTGCTAGAGATGTTTTAATGGAAGTTTATGATCTGAAATTTTCTCATCTTATTTGGGATCGGCTTCAGAAAAGATTTATGTCTGCTTGTATTTCTCGATCCATAGAACTCAAAAGGTTGCTGTCTCATATGAAAAAGAAGGACTCTCAAACTATGGATCAATACTTGTTAGAAATTAAACTCCTAGCAGATTCTTTAGCCGCTATTAATGCTCCAGTCAGTGGGCGAGATCAAATCGAGTATGCTATACTTGGGTTGGGACGTGGTTATGAATCGGTTCTCAATAACATTGATCAATTACCGGGAATTCCAAGCCTTGAAGACCTTCGTCCCATCCTACAAGCGCAGGAGCAACGCAACCTATTTTTCCAAGCCCAAGAATCAGCTCCTGTACATCAGGCCTTCGCTGCCCCCTGCAGCTCCAGCAGTCCGAGGGGGTGCCCCACGTGGCGGTGGTGGACACCCGCGTGCTCCAGGTGGTCGGGGAAACCGAGCAGGCCGAGCTCGTGGCGGCCGGGGTCGTGGCGGTGGCCGGGGATATTTCCAGCAGCTCTATACAGGCTATCCTCCGCAGGCAGCAGCCCCAATACCGAGGGCACCAGCATTTTCAGGGCAGCCAGGTTCAGTTTTGTGTAATGTTCGTTCTGGTGATAATTGTACTGTTTATTTTCCTACTTCTGTTACTCATAACACTTATGCAGGTTTCCCGTCTGTGGATCAGTCCTATCAGTCACCTCCCCCTCCAGTTGTTTGTCAGTTGTGTTTTTCTCCAGGTCACTCAGCTCTTCAGTGCTCTCGTTTCACTACATCGCATACCCCGGCTCTTGCTGCATTACCCACTGGTGAAACAAATGATTCAGTCTGGTATCCTGACTCTGGGGCCTCTGCTCATATGACTCCTCACGAAGGTATTCTTTCTTATAAAACTCCTTACACTGGCCAGAATCAAGTTTGTGTTGCTAATGGTACTAAGTTGCCTATTTCTAATATTGGTCATTTAAAGCTGGTCACACGTGGTCGCCCGTTAAATCTCAATTCTGTCTATCATGTCCCACATATTAAATATAACTTATTGTCTATTCAAAAATTATGTGCGGATAATGCCTGTCACGTGATTTTTGATAAAAATTCTTTTTCTGTTAAGGACAATTACACGGGGGAGCTTCTTCTTCAGGCACTTAATAAAGATCATGTTTATCCTTTTCATGCACTTCAAGCCCGTGTAGTACCTGGTCCAATCTGGCACAAGCGTTTGGGGCATTGTGGTGATAGAATACTTGGTAGACTTAGGCAGCATAAATTAATTTCTACTTCCTCCTCTTTTGTTCACGATTGTGTTTCTTGTAAACTGGGTAAATCCCACAGACTTCCTTTCAGTGATGTTACTCATGACTCTACTGCACCATTACAAATTATTCACTCTGATGTTTGGCAGTCGCCAGTATTATCTAATCTTGGTTTTAAATATTATGTCTCCTTTATTGATGATTTTTCTAGATATACTTGGGTTTATCCGATGCATAGGAAGTCTGAAGTATTTACTCACTTTTTAACTTTTCAGAAACTTGTTGAAAATTTTTTGAACCTGAAAATCAAAGTTTTTCAAAGTGATGGAGGAGGAGAGTTTGATAATACTGTTTTTAGGGAGCATTTTTCGAAGTCTGGAATTTTATTTAGAAAGTCTTGCCCTGAAACCCCGGCTCAAAATGGTGTTGCGGAACGCAAACACAGACATCTACTAGAATTAACTAGGACTATGTTGATTGATTCTTCTATTCCTAGTAAATTCTGGGTTGATGCATTATATACTGCCACTTTTATTATAAATCGTCTTCCTACACCGATTTTAAACGGACTCACTCCATATGAGAGACTTTTTCACAAAATTCCTGACTATAATTTCATGCGTGTGTTTGGTTGCTCATGTTTTCCCAACTTTATTGCTGAGTCTCACAATAAGTTATCACCGCGTTCCATACACTGTGTTTTTCTGGGTTATGCACCGGGCTACAAAGGCTACCGTTGTCTCTCTCCTTCAACTGGCCGAGTCTATGTAAGTCGGGATGTTACTTTTCACGAAAATATTTTTCCTTATCCGACTTTAGTACACAGCCAGTCAACCCCGACTTCCACCTGGACCAACCTCCTAACCCCTTCCTGGCTTTCCACCTCATCCCACAACTCACGCACATATACTGGTCCTATTTTACCAAGCTCACCAGTACCCCCTATCCCTTCACCTATGACTACTGTGACTGCGCCTCATATGCCCATCGCTGAACTGTCTACTCCACCCACAACTCCCATATCCTCCCAACCATACGTACCAGACTCCACCATCTCTCCTCCACCTTCTTTCCCTAATGCAGCACCCACCATCTCTTCTTCACCCTCCTTTCCCAATGCAGAAACCTTCATCACCTCCTCGCCTGCCACTGCCATTTCATCCTCCGGGCCTGGCAGCACACCTGCTTTCCCTCCTTCGATCAGCCCCTTGCCAATTATCCCTACTAATATTCATCCTATGCGTACACGCGCTAAGGATGGTATTTTTAAACCAAAACAGATTTTTACTTTACAAGTTTTGGCTCCCCCTGATGATCCAACTTGTTTTACACAGGCTAATAAAAGTGAGGTTTGGCGGGCAGCCATGGCTGATGAATTTAATGCTTTAATTGCTAATAAAACTTGGGATTTAGTACCTTGGGACCATACTAAAAATGTGGTTGGTTGTAAGTGGATTTATAAGACCAAATATCGTTCTGATGGGTCCGTTGAGCGGCATAAGGCTCGATTAGTAGCTCAGGGTTTTAAACAACAGGCTGGCATTGATTTCACTGAAACATTTAGTCCTGTTGTTAAACCCACCACTGTTCGTCTTATTTTATCTGTTGCTATTTCTTTGGGGTGGTCTGTTAGACAGCTTGATGTGAAAAATGCTTTTCTACATGGTTATTTAACTGAAGAGGTATATATGCGTCAACCACAGGGCTTTATTCATCCATCTTTCCCTACCCATGTGTGCCGTCTGCGAAAAGCACTTTACGGTCTGAAACAGGCCCCACGAGCCTGGTTTCATCGATTTAGTGGATTTCTGTTGAGTCGGGGTTTCACACAAAGTAAATCTGATTCCTCTATGTTTGTTTATCGCTCTAATTCTCAAATTGTTTATATTCTTCTATATGTGGATGATATTCTCATTACTGGGTCCTCTTCTTCATTTGTCATGTCGGTTATTCATGATTTATCTCTTCAGTTTGCCATGAAAGATTTAGGAGATGTCCATTATTTCTTGGGCATTCAAGCCAAACGCACGCCCCATGGCTTATTTTTATCACAGGCTAAATATATTTCTGATCTCTTGCATCGGTTTCACCTTCACACCGTTAAGCCTGTGCGCACCCCTCTTCCCTCACGTACCACCCTTTCTCTCACAGATGGGGAACTTTTATCTGATGCTACTGAGTATCGCAGTATGGTAGGTGCTCTTCAGTATTTGATTATTACTAGACCTGATATTACATATGCTGTTCACTTGGTTTCCCAGTTTATGCATGCCCCCCGCACTACTCACTTGTTAGCTGTTAAGAGAATTTACAGGTATTTACAGGGCACCTCTGGTCACGGCTTATGGCTTCAGTCTGACAAAAACATTTCGGTTATTATGGCATACTCTGATGCAGACTGGGCAGGATGTCCTGACAGTTCCCGTTCTACTACCGGGTATGCTGTTTTTCTGGGATCCAACCTCATCTCGTGGCGATCCAAAAAGCAGCCCACTGTCTCGAAATCCTCCACTGAAGCTGAATACCGGGCCATTGCTTATACTGTTCAGGATACACTTTTTATCAGATCTCTGTTAGCTGACATGGGGATCCATATTTCGGCTCCTGTGCAGCTCCACTGTGATAATATCTCTGCCTCGTACTTAGCGGTTAATCCTATTCAGCATGACCGGAGCAAACACATTAAGATTGATTATCATTTTGTTCGCGAAAGGGTGGCTCATGGGGATCTCGTTGTGAAGTATATTCCCACACAGTTGCAGTTGGCTGATATCTTTACCAAAAATTTGTCTAGTCAGCGTTTTGAATTTTTACGTTCCAATCTGCGCGTTGTTTCCCCTGCACAGATTGAGGGGGTGTAATAATGTATTTATATAAGGATTACTATGTAATTTTCCAAAACTCATTTTAGTATAAATATTACCTCAAGGCACCCAACAGGGCAAGCCATAATCTCCCAAAATTATTGTTTTGTATAAATGAGACCGAGTGCCATAAAAAATTGAGTTATTTTGATACTCCGCATATATTTGTAGAAATTATATATACAGATGTTTATGTAGGTAGTATACTGACGTGGTCTATTTAATATGGTAGAAGTTGATGTTTATTTTTTCCACCGGCATATAAACTGTGTGGATTTGTGGAAAATATTTGAGGAGGATTTTGTGGTGGGGCAATTGTAAGATCAGCACTTACGTATGGGGATGTAAAAATTGAAAACCAAATTTAAAACATATGTACTGTGTTGTAACAATGAGCATGACAACACAACACATATGGAAGTGTGAATGGAGGTTTCACACTTGGTCTATAGTAACAAATATTGGAAAATAAGGGAGGTTTCTTTTATGTTGTTTAGGTATAGTACATATTTATATAATTAATTTCTTGGCTATTTTTGATAGCATTACTTTTCATATACGGACTTAACTAACTTTTCTCACAAATTCATATTTGAGTATTGTTTAATAATGTCATAACACACCTTCACATATTTGCACCCCCCTGATTTGCCAATGTACCCGGGCAATTCGTGTAAAAAATGCAATTCGTATAAATGCATAGTCACCATATGACTTCTGATGCAATTCGTATAAATGCATATTCACCATATTACTTGAGATGTTTATACTTAGACTTCTAATGCTTTCATGTATATCAGTGTTGGGTTAATGGCCCAAGTTGAGGTTCGGCCCATTTACCCTTACTTCCGGACGTACGTCCAGCTAAATCATTAAGCTAGCCTGGCAAGCCCATGTTCCTCTAGGAGGGATGAACGTCTGCAGGGGGTTTAGGCTCAACGGCCCATCTCGACGAACGTCTATGCAGGGACAAGGAGCAGGGCCACGAGTCACCAGAATAACGACGAACGTCGTCAGAGCAAGCCCATAGCCATCGGAGGCAGTCCAGTCCGCATGGCGAGAATTCACAAAGGCCAGGGGACGAACGGCCAGTACCCCTTGGAGGCCACCTGGAGCAATCCAGCTCGCTCCCCGGGCGGACGAACGTCCCCACTAATTAGGCGGGAAACCTAGATTCTGGCGGGAAGTGCATTTAATGCTGAAGATTTGGTGGTTGGGACGCCAGCGAACCACAGGCTTCCACGTCAGCATAGCCACCTGCCCATTGGTGGGTATAAATAGAAGCATTTATTTCATTGTAAAGGGTTGGCAACTTTCTATTCTTAGCACTCTAGCTATAGCATTCTTACTCGCAGCACCTCTACTGCCTTGTAAGACGATCGGCTGACGAGCCTTAGTGAGAAATATTGTATTAGGGAGTTATTAAGAGATAATAATACCTAATCACTTACTTGCTACCTTGTTGTTTCTTGATTCATCTCATTTATTATTATTATTATTATTATTATTATTATTATTATTATTATTATTATTATTATTATTATTATTATTATTATTATTATTATTATTATTATTATTATTATTATTATTATTATTATTATTATTATTATTATTATTATTATTATTATTATTATTATTATTATTATTATTATTATTATTATTATTATTATTATTATTATTATTATTATTATTATTATTATTATTATTATTATTATTATTATTATTATTATTATTATTATTATTATTATTATTATTATTATTATTATTATTATTATTATTATTATTATTATTATTATTATTATTATTATTATTATTATTATTATTATTATTATTATTATTATTATTATTATTATTATTATTATTATTATTATTATTATTATTATTATTATTATTATTATTATTATTATTATTATTATTATTATTATTATTATTATTATTATTATTATTATTATTATTATTATTATTATTATTATTATTATTATTATTATTATTATTATTATTATTATTATTATTATTATTATTATTATTATTATTATTATTATTATTATTATTATTATTATTATTATTATTATTATTATTATTATTATTATTATTATTATTATTATTATTATTATTATTATTATTATTATTATTATTATTATTATTATTATTATTATTATTATTATTATTATTATTATTATTATTATTATTATTATTATTATTATTATTATTATTATTATTATTATTATTATTATTATTATTATTATTATTATTATTATTATTATTATTATTATTATTATTATTATTATTATT